AAAACTGTCATATTTATAGTTTTGTTCTTTCTGAAACCTACCTGCTCTTTTGAAAATAAATTATTTGTTTCTAAATAATTATTTAATCTTTGATGAATTACTTTTTCAAAAACTTTGGATAGAACCGGTACTAATGCTATTGGTCTATAACAGCTCATGTCATTTCTGTCGTTTTTCTTAAAAATAGGTTTGATTATGGTAAACTTTAATTAGTCAGGAATAAGGCCATAATAAATGCATTGATTGATAATATTTTTTTTATAGGATCGGGTGACAAACGAGCACACAGTCCACCTGATGGTAAGTGGTTACTGTGACCCATAGACATCTATATCTATCCTCAATAAAGACTCAAGATGCAGATGCGTTGTCACCCGTGAGGACTAAGATGGAATGCCTCTTTGCCAGTAAAAAGGGTCTCCGGTTCTCTACACTCACCATACGAATCACAGCAGTGTTAAGCTGCTATTTTACGCTGGTTTTCTGTGAGAGCGTGGTCCTTCCCCGGTCGAGCCGACCCAATTCGTGCTACAACCATAATATAGCTGCAGCATGGCTCTACCACGTAAAATGACTCAGTACATGTGATAATTTGATAGAAACATATTTTAATATTTTGGTTGAAATATCATCGTAACCCGTACTATTCGTAGGTTTTAAATTTAAAATAATTTTATTTATTTCATTCGGTGTTGCGGGTTTCATAAATAAAGATTTAGATTCACTTGAGATATTAATTGGTGTTCTATGCGGGACCAATTTGGTGATTTGGTTAATATAATATTCATTAAATTTATTCGCTATGCTTATGGGATCCTTAATTGTAGTGTTATTGATAGTAATTTGTTGTATTTCCTGATTTGGTAAATTAATTATCCTATTATTAATTATAGTCCAAGTAGCTTTGCATTTGTTACGAGCACTATTTATGAAATTGTCGTTTTTAACCTTTTGTGTGAATTTGATAACACGACTCAGTCTTGATGAAAGGTCTATAAAACTTTTTTTATTATTTTCTGTTCGGTTTTTCCTATATTGCCAAAGAAGCTGACGTTTACGTTTACAGCACTTTTTTATACCTTTCGTTATCCATTTCAGTTTCACTTCACATTAAAAATAAAATGAGTAAAGCCATGGCTGCATTTTTGCTGTCCAAAAGTGGTCATAGTACTTATTTTTTTCCTACGCCAAACCACATGGTTTATTAAATTAAGAACGAAATCATGAAAAAATTGTGTCCATACTACGAAAAAACAAAATTGCCTACCAGTGATATGTAATTATCCCTAGACCCGATAATAGTAATCATGGTTTCTTTTTTCTTTTTGTCCTTCTCGTATAAAACAAAATTTGATTTTTTTTAGTTATGGCCTCCAAATGTACCATATTAGAAGCAGAAATAAGACATTTGATTTCATTTAGAGAATCATCTCCAATAAGCCCATCGGGAGTTGTCCCTAAATAATAATCTTCGGAATCCATAAACAGTCCACACTCCCAAACTTTTAGATTATGTTTCCTAGTCATGATTCTTTGTAAAATGTTAAATTAATGAAATTGCAATCAAAATATGTTTTTTATTTGAGATACATTCAAATAAATGATTTATTTCTACAATTCTTCGCCCGTACAACTTATTTGATTCAATCTTGACTAACTCTGGTTCAATAATTAGCTCGTCAGTCAAAGACGGTGATATACATATATATATATTACATGACTTATTATTATTGTATTCTTTTTGATTCTCTTTGTCCTTCCTTCGCCAACTGGAGTACATCGTCCTTGCACATTACTGTCCGGTAATTATTTGTCTATCTCGGAGTCACTGAAGAAGAAATAGAATGATAATAGTTTAAATTAAGTATATTTTACGGCTAACTAACGCAGGCGAAGTCGTGGGTGAAGCTATTTCACTCGTGCTGCAACTATACTACTAATATAGCTGCAGCATGGCTATACCACGTATAGAAATTTTACTAATCAAATCTTTGTATCTCGAAAATTTTAGTGATACGAACAACTTTCTTCTAACGGACTAATATTATTACTGGACTGGAAAGTTAAAAATTTTGTACAACCGATTTCAATAAAACTCAATTACAACATAATATATGTAATGGTTGAAATGATTTTCATAAAATTAGTATGAGACCAACTGTGAACAAAAAAAGAATGGGTATTCAAAATCGGTCCGGAGAAATCGATGAACATACATTAAAAAAAAACAAATATACATACACCCGAACATAGAAACCCCTCCGTTTTTGAAGTCAAATCAACATCAGCTATTCTATACTTTTATACTTTGTGGAATAAATTTCTGTCTATCTCCTACTAGTCAACCTATGTCATACAATAGTATGTAAGGTGGTAAGGAACGAGATCAAAGTAAGTAAGTACACGTAGGTACTTACCTGTTGAGTACAGAGCTGTTGATTTTAGAAGACGTTGCCCGTCCTTTCGATTTACGAAGCAAATTGCAATTTTTTAGTTTTGTCTATAATCTTTCTCTTCTATTCTAAAATGTATAAAATTATTTTAGTTGAAAGAATGTAATACTCATCTCATAATCACTCACATAGTAGATAGGTAGATACTTACATAAAAAAATAACAGCTCACTTCTATGAGGTAGGTAGGTATGTAGTAAGTCCCCACTTAATGTCTACATAGACTATACAATATAATAAAATTGCAAAGTAACACAAACAAATTCATTATGTAACTACAGTCGTAAATGTACGCAAATACAGGCTATGCATGAATGAACGCTCCTGCTGCTGTTATTGTAGTGTGCGTGAGAATTAGTGTAATATGTTGTATTTGTGTTGTTCACGCCCGGAGACCGGAGGAAGGGGGTACGTTATGAAACAGATAGCATTTTTGAAAATACCTACTCGCGCCGCGTATCGGCACTTCACAATCCTCTTAAAAGATAAAAAGGACAGAATTATTGAGATTTTATTTCTTCACCATTTGCCTATATTACTTATTCTGAACCTTTTCTGCAAACATTTCTTTCTCTGGCGGGTTATTGCAAAATAAACCTGTGTAGAGACTAGTTCCAGTTACCATGTATTGGCGGTGCGGTGTAAGAATATCCACTACCTACCCTATTTCATCCCGTGGCTGTCGTAAGAGGCAACAGAATGAAACAAATCAGGAGACGGGCAGCAACGTCTTCCTAATAACGAATAAAAATAAAAAACTACGGTTGCCATTCCGCAATAAAGCGTGGCAACTGTCAAATATCCCCTCTATAAGATAATCCATATTCAGCAGTGGACTTTAATAGGCTGTGTCGGTAACTAGTTCGAACTAAAAACTATTTTTGGTTTCTATTGAAAAGTTGGACTTTTGAGCTTGTCGGGTTTTGCAGGCACATCAACTATATACGCTATTTCTCATTGAAAAAAGTACATTTAGAAGATGTTTTTATTTTATTTTATAAAGGCCCACAGACTTTGGGTGCTCTAGGTCTAGGACCTTTGCAGTCTAAGACGGTCCTGACACTGGCAAAGGCGAATGATCCCTTTCCGAATCCACGGGACAGTGTTGCTTTAGTAAAAGTAATCCCGTATGGTATGTCCTATAATTATAGTAATTTATAGTTTAATTATAGTAATATAATAGTTAAATTTTCTATTTACTTATTAGGCAACTCTAAAAATGCAATTAGAAAATAAACTAATCTTATAATTCAATGTCTGTAGTTATAGCGTTAATAATAATATGGATTTGATGGTTAGCTAAAAGTATAAGAACTATTTTATGTAGTGAAATTGAGGTATGGCCATATATTATCGAGAGTAGAGCACTCTCTCACGTTGTGAGGCGTGCAATGAGGGCTAATAATTTTCTGCTCACCAGATGTCGCCAGTTGACACTGAGGTAAAATTTTTAGTTACACAATGTCATTTAATTGAAAAATTAGTTTTTAATAAAAGTTTATTAGTTTCTAGAGTATTAAGTATATTATTAAAACACAAAACAATGCGTCAGTGGCTCTTTAATTTTTTTTATTTAATTTTTCTATTATGAATATTTGTGGTTTGGTTTAAGTATTTATTTTTAATCTTATTAATATAAAATATAGCTAATAGTATAGAAACAATAACCTTCAAATTTTCCGAACAAATTAACCTCCCCGCTATGAAATCTGTCAAATATGTATATTTGACAGATTTCATAGCGTTGGGTCGTAGGTTAAAATGCAGGCTACCTGTGTAAATCATGAGAGACAACACAAAGTTATGCTAGATAAACAAAATAAATACAAAATGTATTATGATTTACGTGCCAAGCCTTTACCTATATTAGATGTCGGCGATAAGGTAACTATGATAGAAAACAAAAATTCTAAAATTCCAGGTTATATCGTTGCAAAAGCGGCGACCCCCCGCTCATATTTTATTAAAACTAAAAGAGCAATAGTGTATCGCCGCAATCGCAGACATCTAATAAAAGATAAAACACAAGAAAATAGAACGTCAGTACAAACAGTAAATGAGAATAAAGAACATAATTCAATGACAACAAAAACGACTTTTACGAGTAGTGAAAATGGGGAATATTCTTCGAACGATGAATATGAACCAACAATGTTAAATATTGAAATTAATGAAAATTATTCTCCGCCTCTCACTCGAAGTAAAGTAAATAAAAACAAAAAATAACCGGTTTAATTAATCCTTTGTAATCACAAAAAAAAGGTTATGGTTATGGTAAAATGTGCTAAAGTAAGTTTTTTATTCATGTATTTCTTGGTAAAATTATTTAAAAAAACACTTTTGTTAAAAACTTATTCTTTAAGGGGAAGGTGTTGTGGGTAGTCTTAAAATATTGTATATTAGGAAACCGCCATTATTAATAAAACAGTTGTCATCTGAACTCTGTAGTTTCATTGTCACTACACTGTAACTCATAGACACCTACCCTAGATGTTTTATATTTTTATGACGAGGTACTACTACAATAATAAAAATAAGACATCTTTTTCGTTAAATATTTTATTGACATAACAATATATTAGCACGCAACACCTAGTGAAATATTCCTAGTCATCTAACATTAGCGAACAAAATAATTCATTAGTATTCATCACATTAAGCATATAACGTAAAATATAATTAATAGTAAATGTCTCTTTCTTATGTAAAAATTAGCGAGTGCGTGTGAGAGAAAAAAGAGTGCGGTACATATTATATTATGTACGATATAAATAAATTACAATTTGTAAGCTTGACGCATCATAAGGTCGAAATAGCAGTCACTGTCGATGGAGACACTGATGCCACTGTAGAAGTTCATAAACTCCTCAAGTGTTACCTGAAACAATAAATTCATTGTTGTTTAAATTATTATACATTTAGACTGTCTCGCGTTCGTCTAGTCCAGACGTAAAAAAAAACTGTTGATAATGAAGTCCCTGGGTCGGGCCAAAAAAAAAATCCGTTACTTTTTCTGTCAATAAATTGTCAGTAGCAGCCTGGTGACAGGAAGTTAGTGGTGTTTCACCCTCGTGCCTTGCAAAGTACGTAAAGTCGTGGGTCCTCTGCCCGATCTTGGTGTCGGATTGCCGTCATAAAGTGCATCCCGTTCTTCGCAGAAGACCTCAGTCTGGCTGTCGTGATTAAAAGTTTGGCCTGGAGGACATTATTTATTATACATATATATTTTAAGTGTGTTAGAGCTATAGTACCCTAGGAGGCTAAAAAATCGTGAGGAAACCAGCATTTCCCAAAAATTAAAAATCTTTCGACGAGCATCATATCATATTATATGATTATATTGTACAACCCACAGCTATTCACTGGTTTCCTTTGATTTCCTCAAGGATTTATGAAGCAGGAAAAGTCCAGGCCGCTCTAATACAAATTGGCAGAATTTATATTTTAATTTCGCAACCACAAAACACTTGGGAAATCAATAAAATGCATAAAGTCCTCATGTAAATTTGCTAAGTTTTTTGTTCTTTTCTGTTAGGGCAATACAATTTTAGAATTTGAACATTTTTTAATATTTATATTTTTAATGGAATTATAAATTTGCATGCAAATATATATATATAAATATACAGGGTTATTTTTCAGAGTAGCCAAATTTTAAAATTAAGTTCAAATATATAAATAATGACACCGTTATTGCAGTTTTTGAAAATACAAGTAAATAAGGCTTCTACTTTTATTTGAAATTAAACCAAATTGAATGTGATTTATGGGCGACAACGTTTTTGCCTACCAATCTACCATACGTATGTGTGCGTGCGCAGTAAAATCAGTTAAAATCATGCATACCACACATTTAGTATTTAAAGGATAAAAAGGACAGAATGTTTTAGATTTTTTTTAATTTTTTTTTCTTCACCATTTGTCTATATTGTTTATTCTGGACCTTCTAAGCAAATTTGGCCGGTTATTGCAAAATAACCCTGTATACTAATATATTTTTTATTTATTTTTTTTCTAAAAAGGACTAGCCTAAATTGAACAGTCTTCCAAATAATGAAATCTTTATGGAAAAATCTTTCTTACATATTAATCCTAAAAGAATCTACTTTTTATCAATGTGCTATCAAATTAATTAAGACAAAATATCATTAAACTTTAAATGCAATATTAGTAGATTACCGATCCGTCTTCAGATCCATCGACTTCGAAGTTAGCCAAGAACCTGTTCATGACCTTAGCCGCCGTTTCCTCTCCACTCATGTACCTGGAAAATACATTTATTACATTTTAAAAATAGATAAATGTCTGCATTATTGTTTATGTACCCTTTATTTTAAATTTAGTTCAAGTGTTAAAATTGAGATTTAGTTGCACTGATTTGTATTAATTGCAACTGCGATTTGAAGTAATTTCAAGAAGATATGATAAAAAATCATTGTTTGTGAAAAAATCGTGAATTGCACCGTCCGTGGAATCAATCCCGCACGAAAAAGTGTTTAACCTACAAATAATTGAGAGTACTTGACAGTCAACGAAATACGTTTTAAAAGTATTATGTCATTAAAATTATGTATCTTGTAGGGGGCAATCCCGATATAGTATTATTTGCTGACGATACCTCTTTAATTTTCAAACTCAAACGGCAGTCAATTAATTATGACGATGTAAATAATGCTCTATCGAAATTAGTACATTGGTTTAACGCCAACAATGCTCTTAAACGGCAATAAGACAAAATGTATTAAATTTACAATACCTAATGTAAAACATTCGAAAACCAATGTGCTCTTAAAAGGGGGGGAGTTGAGTCTTGTGGATACCACTGTTTTTCTTGGTATTACTATGGACGCGAAACTTCAATGGGGGCCCCATATATCTAAATTAGCAAGCAAACTTAGTTCTGCAGCATATGCTGTAAGAAAGATTAGAAGTCTCACAGATGTTGAGACAGCTAGATTAGTGTATTTTAGTTACTTTCATAGCGTAATGTCTTATGGAATTTTGCTATGGGGTAATGCGACTGATATTGAAGCTATATTTGTTTTGCAAAAGAGCCGTTCGGACGATTTATTACCTAAATTGTAAAGAGTCCCTCAGACAAAAATTTAAAGAAATAAACATATCAAAGTTAATATCATCGTATAATTGCATCGCAATATATTTATGAAAATGTGATGTATGTACATAAAAACATAAATAGCTTTAATAAGAATAAGGATGTTCATACCCTAAACACTAGGAACAAACATAAGCTTGTAATGCCAGTTACTAGACTCCACAGAATCAGTAATTCATTTATGGGGCAATGTATACGCTTTTACAACAAAATCCCAGAACATGTTCAAAGTTTGTCAATAAACAAGTTTAAAAGTTTTATTAAAGAAAAACTGTACAAAAAGGGTTATTATAATATCAAGGAATACATGAATGAACATATTTTTGAAAGGATTGTGGAAGAAGTTTTACTCAAACTTAGTAAACAGAACAAGTCTGTTGTAATGTGTGGAGACTTTAATATCAATCTCCTTGAAACTTCTTCCATTAGTATTAAGTTTCGCTCATTGTTTAAATCGTATAATCTTGTAAATTTATTCTTAGAACCAACACGTATTGCTGGGCCTAGTGCGACCTGTATAGATAACATTTTTACAGATGTTAAGCCCTTGCATAAATCAATTATTCAAAATTTAAGTTCAGATCACTGTGGACAGTTAGTATCACTACCTTACATACACAAAAAACAGAAAAATAAGAAAGTTGTGTTTGTTCCAATAAATGAACATCGCTTGGAGAGGTTTAGAAGTAATATAATAAAAAGACTTCCATCACTTTCGTTTAAAAATAGTGCTAATTATTTGTATGCTACATTATTTGAAATCATACGTTGTGAATTTAGTAGAATATTTACTTCTAAAACTTTCTCTCTTAACAGTCGCAAATCATTTAATGAATGGGCGACAGTAGGAATTTATAAAAGTAGGCGAAGGTTATACGAGCTTTATGATGAAAGATCATATAATAGTAGTGTTATATTTAGAGATTATGTAAAAACATATTCTAAAATATTTAAAAAAGTGTGTTCCACTGCTAAGGCTTTACATTTAAGCAACAAAATTAAAACTGCATCCGACAAAATTAAAATGACCTGGAGAATAATAAATAGTGAAACGGGCAAGGTCAAACCGCGCAACTCGGATTTTCAATTAAATATTAACAATAATTTAACGCGATCTGATCAAGAAGTTGCTATGGCTTTTGAGAAACATTTTACTGATGTTCCTTTTTTGACAACAAAATCATTAAATTCTTCTCCTACTGTCGCCGAATCATTGCTCAAACAAAATGTAAAGGCTTGTTCAAATACTTTTAAATTCCATAGGGTACTGCCAAAAGATATCGTTAAATATTTTAAAGCTATTGATGTTAAGAAAACGGCAGACTTATGGGGGATTTCCGTTAAAGTTATTTTATCTATAATAGATACATTAGCACCTTATCTAGCCACTATATTTAATATAAGCGTCGAAGCTGGTGTGTTTCCTGATTTAATGAAACATAGTAAAGTCATACCTATATTTAAATCTGGTAGTACATTAGACCCCGCCAATTTTAGACCAATTTCTGTACTACCAACATTAAGTAAAATTTTTGAAAAAATTATTTTAGATCAGATGTTAAGTTTCTTCAATATTAATAAATTGCTACATAAAAATCAATTCGGTTTTACAAGGGGTCGCTCGACAACTGACGCTGGAGTTGAGCTTATTAAACATATTTTTTGTGCATGGGAGAATTCAGAGGATGCTTTGGGTATATTTTGTGACCTTTCCAAGGCCTTCGACTGTGTTCACCATGATATATTAATCAGGAAGCTACAGTACTATGGTGTCAAGAACACAGCGCTTAAACTTATTATTTCATATTTAAGTAATAGAAAACAGAAGGTTATTATCAATGGTAAAAGTTCTTCCGGGTCACCTGTACTAATGGGTGTTCCTCAGGGCTCGATTCTCGGCCCATTCCTGTTTCTGGTATATATTAATGACTTACCTCACCTTGTAGGGGATAGTCATGATATAGTATTATTTGCTGATGATACTTCCTTGATTTTTAAACTTAAACGTCAATCATTTAAATGTGACGAAGTGAATAATGCTATATCAAAATTAGTGCATTGGTTTAACGTTAATAATCTGCATTTGAACGGAAATAAAACTAATTGTGTTAAATTTACAACAACGAATGTTAAAAATCTTAATACCAATGTGTTTTTAAATGGGAAGGAATTGAGCCCTGTTGTATCCACTGTTTTTCTTGGCATCACTCTTGACGCAAAGCTACAGTGGGGCCCCCATATATCCAAATTAGCAAGCAGACTAAGTTCTGGAGCCTATGCTGTAAAAAAGATTAGAGGTCTCACTAGTGTCGAGACAGCTAGATTAGTTTATTTTAGTTATTTTCATAGCATAATGTCTTATGGGATTTTGCTATGGGGAAATGCGGCTGATTCAGAAACTATTTTTGTTTTACAGAAGAGGGCCATTAGAGCTATTTACAATCTAAAACCGAGAGAGTCCCTTAGAGATAAATTTAAAGAAATTAATATATTAACTTTGGCCTCTCAGTATATTTACGACAATTTAATGTATGTTCACAAAAACAAAGATAGTTTTAGTAAAAGAAGTGATATACATTCTGTAAACACTAGGAACAAACACAAGCTAGTGATACCAGTTTCTCGACTCCACAGAGTCAGTAATTCATTCTTGGGGCAATGTATACGCTATTACAACAAGGTCCCGGAAAGTGTACAGGTTCTCTCTATTACCAAGTTTAAATGTTTCATTAAGCTGAAACTGTATAAAAAGGGTTATTATAGTATAAATGAATACATGGTTGATAATAACCCCTGGGAATGAGGTGATCGCTTCCAAGCAGTTTCTAAAATAAATTTTGTAAATAGTTCGTAATCATTTATATTGTAAAATTTATTTAAAAAAAAAAAATGTCCCGCTGGGTTTCTTGCTGGTTCTTCCCAGGACAGAGGGTTTTTTCGAACCAGTGGTAAAGTAAAAAATGACTTTCAATAAGAATTACACATGTAATGTATATTGAATAAAAATATTCTATTCTATTCTATTCTATTCATAACCCCTGGGAATAAGGTGATCGCCACCATGCTGGTTCTATGAAAATTCATTTAAAATTGTATAAACAAAATTATTGTTACTTAAGTGAAATTATGTTAAAAAAAAATCCCGCTGGGTTTCTTGCTGGTTCTTCCCAGGACAGAGGTATTTTCCGAACCAGTGGTAAATAAAAAAATGACTTTCAATAAGTATTATGTAATAATCAATATTGAATAAAAATCATTCTATTCCATTCTAATCTATTCTAAAAAAAATATAATAAAGATCTAATTTAGGTTAAAATAGAAAATCACCCAAATTTTTTTAAAACAACATGTAACATTTTAAAATGAGATCTGGTTAAAAGTCATAATATGGGACTATTAAAAATTAAAACAATGAATAATTACTTTATAAGTTGATAAAAACAGCGCAATTGGACCTATCCCATAATTCTAACAGATACACAGTTGAATTGATAACTTAATTTTTTTTTGGTATTGATTAATAAAAAGATTAAAAGATAAAAGAATAACTTGTTACATGATACCACAGTGCAAGTACATATGGTTGTAGCACAAATGAGTCAGCTCAACCAGGAAACACTACTGTACTTAAAATAGCTTAATGATACTGTGTTTCGTATAGTGAGTGTAGATAATAATCAAAAGAATAAAGAAAAAAAAAATCAATGGGGCATTCTATCTTATTCCTCAGGGTTGACAACACATCTAGATTCTGATTCTTAATGGAGGATAAATGTAGGTATCTTTGGACAGTAGCATCCACTTACCATCAGGTGGACTGTGTACTTGTTTGTCGCCGTTAGTATATAAAAAAATCATATATATATATATATATATATATATATATATATATATATATCGATATACGAAAGTAGCCCATTAAATAAGGCTAATCAAAGAAACAAAGCTCCCTGACAAGTTTTTCAACGTACTCACAGCCGTGACATAGTTTACAGTACCCAAAATCTATTTCAGAATTACAATCATGCCAGTAATTGAAGAAATTCTAAAAGAAGAAAAGTTGAATTTTAATAGTTTCAGTAATGACATAATGTCATAGTGTGTTATATGTACATAGTGTTTCGTGTTTTTTAATTTGATAAAATGAAACATTACACACGTCTAAAGTTCTAGGGGATGAAATAAAAAATGAAACTGTTGGTGTATACAATTAATATATTGTTAAAATTATACAAAACAGAATGATCTGTATACTATTTCTAATACAATTAGTTCATCTAATACAATTAGTGGCAACTAGGGCAAATATCCCCCCTATGAGCCAAGTTATGGGGGAGGCCTGTGTTCAGCAGTAGTCTCTAATAGGCTGTAACGGTATATTAGCTTTACCCATAAACAACCTGACAGTGTCTTGCAATAAGGACTCATTTTACTGTTGTTTGAAATATTATATTAATTATACTATATTAAATAAATAAAATAATAGGTCTTACAATGGATGAGAGTTGACGCAGTAAACTTTACGAATGTCATTAACAGTGATGACACCGTGTCCATCTTTGTCAAACTTTCTAAAAACTTTCTCCACGACAGCGCGCCGTGAGTCTGACATTGGTGGCTGGAAACAGGTCATAATAGAGTTATATCTTAAGATCCATTTAAATAAATACTCAGTCTGGCCACCAATTGCAGCAGAATGATCACATAAACATATTATCTAATCTTAATCTAATGTCACTAGAATATTTATTTTCAAAAAAGAATTTTTTTTCAAGTTGATCATCCTAAAGGGGCAGCCGTAAAATCCATAGCACATGTTATCCTAGTTTGAACTCCCGTCTCCCACAAATTTATGTACTCTTTACTTTATTTATAAGAAAAAAAAAATATGTTTGTAACAGATAAATTCTGTAATGTAATATTTGTGGGCGAAAATAATAAAGGTTGTTATTATTATTATTATCGTAATTAAGAATCTATAGGATTAGTTAATGGTAGTCCCCTACGACATGGTTCGATCATTTCTTATCCCAATCAAAAATATTTGTAACAGTTAGATTGTATCGCTTTTAATCTAGCTCAAACCAACGTAGGTGTAGACGATTGGTTAATGACTCCGATATGGTTGGGTAATTTCTTAACCCAGTCAAAAATATTTGTTACAGTTAGATTGTTGAACACTTATCTTGCTCGAACTAACGTAGGTGTACAATGTCACACACGCCATTGAGTCATGCCTCACGCCTACGTTCGATTGTAATGGCGATGTGTACAAGCTGCCTGTACAATCTCTAAATCGAACTTATTATACACTCTGCCCTCTTGTAAATGACGCCGCCCCAGTCGGCATTTAGAATTTTGACCGTAGGCTCTTTCTGTCAGAAAGATATCTGTGAACGACGTTCGTGCCTTAAATGATAGCAGGCGGCTACGGGGAATTCTAACATGGTTTCGTTTTTTATCTTCGTTTACTAGTGACCTGTGTACTGAATCAAGTCGTTAGGCACACACGTCCTCACGCACAAGCGTATAGAAGTATACATTTCAAATATAAAGTTGTTAAAATCGAAGAAACTTGTAAAATACTTACGCGAATTTGTTTGATGAGCTCATCAAAACTGATGAATCCGCTGTTGTCGATGTTGAATCTATCAAATGTTTCTTCAGCTTCCTAGGAATTGTAATAAAATGAAAAATTAACATAACCTTCATTCAGTTTGTCACTGCAGATCCATCTTATTACTGCTTTAAATACATAATTCCATATATACAATGTTCCATTTCCCTATTCTAGCAAAAAGCAGCGGAGCACCCAGTGTTACTTTTTGGCGGATAAAAATCATTATAATTATAGACTGAATGCTATATTTGCTAGGAGTTGGTTACAGGCAGGGCTCGGAAACCGGTTTAAATTCTGAACCGGTTTCGGCCATTGACCCCAAAACCGGTTTTTGGGGAATACCGGTATTCACAAATATAGGTTTAGGTAGTAAGAATTAACCGGTTAAAACCAAGTTTTGTAATTCCCCCCCCCCCCCCCTCGCTTGCACCCAACTTTGTACGGCTGCCCTCTGTCTAATTCACGAGGTTTTTAGACACACGTACGATATTATATCGATTGCATCAACGCGACTGCCATGTAACGTACTACCTCATATTTTTTCAGCTTAGAGCAACGATCGTATTATAAATAACAGAAGATGTAAGTTCTGTTTCAATTAATTATGAGTTATCTTCACTTTAAAATTAAGTTTCGATATCAAGTTTAATTTGACCTTATATATTTAAAATTACTTTAATTATATGTAACATTTTCTATTAAAATTACGCTTTGCATCTTTAATTCAATGTCATTAGTTTAATAATATATCGCAATAAATGATGAACTTTCTTAACAGAACAAGATATTTTTAAAAGCTTATGAAATTATATGTAATAGTATTTGTCCTTTTTAGAACTAAAGTGAGGCAGATTACCAGATTTTTTTAAAATTGTGATTCGGACCAACCTCTATCTCCGTCTTTGCAAAATCAATAATGACCACTCCTGAGGTGTAAAGTTTAACTAGAAGTCATGTCTAAAGTATAAATCACACTGATATCTACGATCTTGTATTGAATTATAAAAGAGTATTATTAAATGTGCAGCCAAATTTTCTCACGCCTCAAGATCAAAATAATATAGTAGGTAATCACTTTCGAATTTTTTACAAACTTTCATACTTTACGAATATGGAACTATTCAAATAAATAAAATTGAAGTGTCTGTTCGTAACGTCAAGATAACAGATTTTTACTAAATACATATTATGAAAGTATATAATATAAAAAAATTTAAATTTTGTCTGTCTGTATGTCTATTTCTTCAGGCTAATCTCCGAAATGGCTGGACTGATTTTGACGTTCCTTTCACTGGTCCGATTGCCGACTACCTCGTTGGTCAAGTGGCGCGACTAGCGCGACTGTGGATCATGATTTGGTCCTGAATTTGAACCCCGGGTCGTGCCAAGTACCGTTACTGGATTAATTGGGTATTATGAGTGTTCTAGAAACCACCTCGATAGTCGTATTACAGCCCTCAATCAAGCACTTTGATTTTTGGGTTTACTCGTCGTACGTTTTCTTATAGAAAAGGGGGCACACGAGCATGCGGGTCACCTGATGGTAAGTAACTACTGCCGCCCATGAACAACCGCAAGACCAGGGGAATTGCAGGTGCGTTGCCGGCCTTTTAGAAAGGAGTAAGCTCTTCTTGAAGTTCCCTAAGTCGCATCGGTCCGAAAAAATCGCCGGTGGTAAACAATTCCACAGAGAAGTTGTACGAGGAAGAAAACTCCTAGTAAAACACACAGTCGTGGACCGCCAAGCATCCAGATGGTGAGGATGGTATCGTGAATTTTGACGCGATGTGCGTTCGTGAAATTTGGCGACTGGAATTAATCCTAACAATTCCTCATAACACACTCCGTGGTAAATTCAATAGAAAATGCAAAGGGATGCAACATTCCTACGCAGTGCCACTGTATCGAACCGATCAGAAAGAACTTGGACGTCGACGACTCAAACCGTTCTGCGCTGGATGCGGTCAAGTGGAAAGAGCTGACACTGGGGTGCCCAGGTCCAGAGATGAGAGGCCGAATTTGCGGGTTGCAAGCGATGTGCCGACATGAAATACTGCCCCGCTCTGCTGAACACGCCAAGCTCTTAGAGGCCAATTTGGCCTTCCCTTCGAAGTGACCACAAATTGCACACTATTCGATATGTCGACGCCGAGGATTCCGATGCTAGCTGAGGCAGCAAGGGTTCTTTTTAGCGGTATACGTGCAAACTTGTATCTTTTGGGGATTGAACTGGACTAGATCTAGGCGCCCTCAATCCGAGACTTTGTTCAGCAAATAATCGACTTCAGACACAAGTTTGTTCCGGTACTCGGACACGTTTGCCCGAGAAATATTGGCACGGCCGGTGTATATTGCATCACCAGTGCTGTCATTGTTACCAGTTTGCAACATATCATTGATATGCAGTAGAAACAGCGTTGGTGATAGCACGCAGCCTTGTGGAACACAAGCGTTAATAGGCTTGTAATCAGAGCATGCACCGTCTACTACGACCTTGATGCTCCGATTAGCAAGGAAACTGGTGATCCAATTACATAATTTCTCGGGAAGCCTATAGGAAGGGAGCTTCGAAAGAAGCGCTTTGTGCCAGACCCGATCGAAGGCCTTCGCTATGACCAAACTAACGGCCAATGCCTACCCCTTGGACTCTACCGCCTCCACCCATCTATGAGTTAGATAGACCAGAAGATCACCAGCTGATCAACCCCGACGTAAACTGTTTATAATGGATTCCATTATTTTGGAGAACAAGGACGTGATGGCAATAGGCCTGTAGTTTGACGGGTCTGAGCGGTCACCTTTTTTAGGGATCGGGTGACCAAAGAAGTCTTCCATGAATTTATGTAGAAGTACCGGAAAAGACGGGTTAAAACCGGTGCCAACTTCGGAGCACACGTCTTCAGCACAATGGGAGGGACTCCATCAGGCCCACTCGAATTGTTGACGACCAGGGAGAGGAGTGCTTTGCGAACCGAGCACTGTATTAAACACACATCTGGAATGGAGCGCACAAACCGCGGAATGGTCGGCGTTGTGTTCCCTTGTCATTGAGAGTCGAGTTGGACGCAAAAAGAGAGATTAACAGATCGGCTTTCTCCTTTGCGGCATGGATCAGTGAGTCGTCCTCTTTTTGCAGAGATGGATGACAAAAGTTCCCTCGGACAGCCTTGGCAAGAGACCAGAATGCACGGGATACCGAAGGAAGGCGAACTAGCTTCTCACCTATTCTGCCGATATGCTCTGACCTTGCCTTGGTAATGAATTTTGAAGAACCTGGAGGCGGAATTTACTTTTGAAGAGCGCTGGTATTTACTTCCCGAGACATCACCGTCTCGGGATATAAAGACGTCGTCAGCCCAGGCCTGGTAGCACCCCTGCTTATAGTGTGATGCTATTTTACATGAGCGACCAAACCATGGCTGGAATCTGCCTCCGATGGGCACCACAGAAGATGGAATAAAAAGTTCCATATCCTGAAGTGCCACATCAGCGACAGAATCAGCAACATTGCTGGGATTTTCCGGCGAGAAGCAAACCCGCCCTCAAGGGTAGAATGCAAAAAAAGGCCGCATCCTTTCCCAATCGGCCGATTTGTAAGTGACGCGACGATAGTGTGAGTGACACCACCCTCCGGACAAAACAATGGTCCTAGGAGCCATGAGGGGTGTCGACGGAAACCTGATATCCGTCCGGATGATAGGTCAGCAGAAGTTCCAACAGGGAAGGTGCATGATCATTCACATCTGGAATCAGAGTAGGAAAAGTAATCAGCTGTGTAAGACCATATGCCAAGGCAAAGTCATAAACAAATCTCCCCACATGATCGGTTAAATGTGATCAGGGCAGCTTGAGCACCCATCATGCTCAGGAACAGGAACAGTAGGGTAGTTTGGGCGTGGGTGCTCAGCAAAGGATTCCTATATTGATTCCGCTACCATATTTTAAGGGAGGGGGTGGGAATTGCGTCTCCGACCACCTACACTTACCAAGCGAAACTTAGAAGTAAACTTCTCCTTCACTCTGGTATTCTGTGAGGACGTGATACTACCCTGGTTCGAGCTGGCCCATCCATGCGACAGCAAAAGCTGCCGCGTGGCTCTACCACTGTTAAAACGTAAACATAGAATAAATTCTATTTACTTTTTTTCTGCCCATCAAAAATAAACAACCGATACACAAGAATAAATTATTTTCTTCGTTATGAGACAAGTCCAGTCTTAACGAATAAACCAAACACAATAACTGCATTTCTTTCCTCATAACTTCTCTAATACCTTCACGTTTATCGTAAACGCCAAACTTCCACTAGACACTCGGATCGCGACTGTAAAAGCGTATCGCTTAAAGGCAGATAGTTGATGATAAGTATGTCCGCATGCGGCGATGCCGCATAAGCGCTTCACAACGTGAATCTACCTGTCCTATTCATAACTGCCTTTATGTTTTACGGAATTAACCGGTTAATTTGGATTCCAAAACCATTCAGTAACCGGTAACCTTTATCGTTTAGGTTCAATAAAAACAGGTTAATTTTTTAACCGGTAACTGAAGGAGCGATAAATTTACCGGTAATTAATCGAAATTAACCGCTCTTTTTAAACCCGTTCCGGGCCTTGTTTGCTGGTGTCCACTTACTATCAGATGGACTATTGTTGTTTATCACTGTTGTTATATAAAATCTAAAGCTCTTATTATTAAGAAAGAAAAAAAGAAATGCTTTTATTCGTATAAAACGTAAAAAAGTAATTATATGCCCCCACCCCGAAGGCAACTCGAGCAACTAAGTGGACGCTCGCTCTTGATGTCCGGAAATTAATTATATTATGTATATATAGCCACTATTTAAATAGGATAGCGTGTACATATATTTAGTTTTGTAAATAAAAAAAATCAAAGGTAAATAAAAACACAACTCGTATAAACATTTCTAAACCAATTGAAAAAAAAAAGCTAACTACATTATGTGCAATCTCTGTTAGTTTCAATTTTGTTAAATAAGTAAAAATTAAAGTGGCAATCCGCTCGTTGCCTATGAAACACATTTAGCTATGTTACTATTAAATTCATTCATCTTTAAACACTAAATAAATTACACACAGACTACAGATAAGTCTTCAAATTTTATCATAAGCAAATAATATATATAACGAAAAAGCACCTGCCTATTGAATAATCAGTTAATCATCTATGTAAAGATACATTTTCAGTTCAAAGAAACAAACCTTCTCACTGATTTCCAATCCGGTTTCCGCCAAGCCTTTGACAAACTCTTCCTTATTGACGTTTTTGTTTCCATTATTGTCCATTCGTCTGAATACCCTAAAAGACCAAAAATGTAAATAAATGCGTTAATGACTGTTTTTTTGTTATATTGTTCTAGCTGTTGGTAAAATTCAAATAAGGGAAGACATACTAAAAGAACATTAGGCATGTTACATCCGAAGGCGAAAACACCAGATCTAAATGTCGAAACCAGCTAGCAGCCACTACCAATACGATCGTCCACACTCTGATTAAGTGGCAAGGAAAATCTGCTGACTTGATAATGGCATATGCCTAATAAATAGTAGTGTACAAAACAATAAAAAATAGTTTAAAATATTTATCAGTTTTACATCTAACAACATAATACATGATGGATCATATATGATTTAATATAGACATCATAGTTAATAAGCTAAAATAACAAGGAGTTAACACATGCTGATGGGTAAACGATACATGTTACAGGTGCCTTAGAACCATGTTTTGTGGAACTCCTTGGGGGGAGCCTTATGTTCAGTAATGAACATGTGAATTCTGTAATGTAATGACGATGATGAAACACATACAAGCACAAAATTTATAAAATGAAAATTACAACCTCTTAAGGCCCATTTTATAAAAAGAAATAACTTCAGACCCAGCATCAATTTTGGTCACTTCTTCAAGTGACCAAAATTGCCAAGCCAAGTCCAAGGCCAAGTCCTTTAAAAAAGGTTTAATTTTAAAATAACGTTTTTGAATTCAAATAGCCCGCCAAATAGGTACTCGACATTTAAGCGGAAACCGGAAGACCTATTTAATCTGTTACCGGAAGTTGTAAACATTGATATTCTAAGTCTATGGTTTAAAAATTATCTCGTGACGCCATTTCTTTTACGACGTGATAGCTGACTTTAGGAGATTGAGTAAATCTTTCTTTATCTTTGTAATCAGTGATATCATGGTTTGGTATACAAAATATGTGTGGCTATATGTTGTAAGTAATTACATTAATAATATTTTTCATGTTACTATCGAAAATTTCACATTTAATCAAAACTGCTACTTCAAAAAGTACCGCGTAAGAAGTCTTCTACACCAAAAACTCGTTATTATTTTAGACCTTTACAAAGGTCTTTGGTATAAATGTAAATAGTTGACGCTGTAAAGTCCGATGAAGCTGTACGAGGGTGACACTGAAAGTTCTTAGAAAATCAAAATCTGAATAAACTAGCAAATTATTAGTTTTATTATATCTTTTCTTAATAGTGTCCATTTACATCTATACATCGCTGCATCCGATGGAACCACTGAGAAAAGCACTTTGCCTACTCGTCCTTAAGGGTCCTCTTCGACGGCGTTTTGAAATGCAGCCAATGCTTCCTCGGCGTCCATAAAACGTTTTCCTCGAAGTTTTTCTTTTATTTTCGGAAATTTGAGTCACCTCCGTTAAATCTTTAAACCATTTCACGACACCAATCAACACGACAGAGTTTTTGGGTCTCTGTCGAATTATGAGACCAGGCACGAAGCTTCCTGACCGCTAAATGTTCATGGAGGATTTTGTGCACTAGACTCATACAGATGCCTAAAAGCTTGTCCGAATCTGCTGATTAGTCACTCTTTTGTCAGTCTCTATCATACGCCGCACAACACTGATGTTATCTTCAGACGTCGTTGTAGAAGGCCGTTCCTCACGCAGATCAGAGATTAGGGCGACCACGTTTAAACTCATAAAACCAGTTGTAAACAGTGGCACGAGATGTAGCTTCATCGTGAAAGGCCAATCGAAGTCTATCATAACTTTCTTGTTGACTTAAATGATATGACATCGAGTCATAAAAAATCATTGTACGAAAATTTTCTCGCGTTAGATTCATGCTAACGAGACACAGACAATTTTCAATTTGCCGCCAAATCGTAAACAAATGACATATTAATAAAATACATACAAAATAATATTGGCAAAGAATTCCATTTTCAAAATTTGAACTTTTTTTTTACTATATCGTTTACAGGTGGCCAGTTCTAAAAACTTTCAGTGTCGCCCTCGTAAGAGCCAGAGGGCTAACAGCATACTAATAGTTTCGATCTTAAACCTAAAATTAAGTACACGTTAAGTTAATCAGTTAAACTAAAAATACTTTTTTGTGTTTTTTATTTAGGCAGGTCCCTACTATTGTTGTTGTTTTCACTCGATATCTATTCAGGAGTAAATGACCAACAGATAGATGATTTACTTGTTGATTCAGAATTTGAATATGAAGCAGCTGATTTCAATGAAATTGATGATGGGTCCCTAGTGTTAAGAGATCGGATTTGGAATCTAGTTATATACACATTCTAAGTCCGAACTTTCCGCCGAAAATATTACTTCCGCACCTTCATTACAAAGAAGAGGACGAAATCGTGGCATGCGTCGAGGTGGAGCCAGACGAAGTTTGCGCGGAATTACTTCACGAAGGATGATGACTAATAATAGGAACATGCCAGCGCAATCTTCATCAGATGTAAGACATTGCGAGTGGTCAATCAAAAACTTTTATCCACATGTTATTCCGTGTATAGAACCTTCAAATCTACCGATTACTTTAAACGATGAATTTGATTACTTTGAACTTCATAATCATGAATTCGTTGAGCTAATAGTATTGAAAACTACAGTCGACTACAGTCGCTACTACTTGACGACACTTTCTTAATAAAATATATGGCAAGTGTCTTGGTCTCACTATCAATGAATTGCATATAAATAGGATTATTTTCCAATGTATGCCCAAATTTGCAGAGGTAATAAATAAGTAATATAGGCGAAAAAACCTTATCTTTTAAATTCAGAATGCTTAGTAAATAGTATTTTTTTTTAATTTTAATTGATTGTCATTCATAAATATCTAACGCCTACTATTTTACTACGCACGTGCACAATTGTAAGGATCGCTCGGTTACAAATTTAGGTACCTTGTCGCGCGTCTTCCCACGCCCTTCTATTCCCTTAACCGTGACCTCATTACGTACGACGTACTCGCTTTGTTACCAATGACGGAACAATTGACAGTTAATCATCGTACGCGTAGTTGTTGCCTACAAATCACATCCAATTTGGAATCATTTCGAATAAAAGTAAAATACTTACTCGTATTTTAAGAGCCTTATTTACTCGTATTTTCAAAAACTACTTATAAAAACTTGTGATACGAGTATTATTATGTAAATCTCTATAATATATAAAAATCAAATTGGTCCGTTAGTCTTGTTTAAACTCGAAAATTGTTCGGCTGATTTTGATGACTTTTTATGGGTCCCTGGATGGTTTTTATTCACAATATGACCCGGACGAAGCCGGGGCAGATGGATAGCTAGTGTGTAATAAATGTAGATTTTTTTCACTAAAATTGTGATTTTTATTTATTTCGTTACAACTTTCTTTTTGGTACGTACTTATCTAATATTAACCCAAAGAATGGAGGGGTCCGTTCGCCCGCCTCGCTCACTCACTCGACCCCGTCCTTCTAGCTGTAGATTGAACAGCCCTATATTTTATGTAAAAATAAACGATTATAATAAAGTAAACAAAATTTAAGCATGTTCCAAATGGTATGTTCCAGATGTAATCCAGCGTCCCAACAGAGGTGACCTTTCGCGAATTGTGTTTCGGCTACACATCACAACTAAGCGCCAACAGGGTCGAGCTTCACTGTGAATTCGCTAGTTGTAGAAATGACTCCTAATTTGTCCAAATTTCAAAAGGTAGGCCTTGCTTTAGCAGTTTTGTGCGCAATTGAAGACGGAAAACAAAGAAAGAAAAGAAAGTGGATGAAGCGCTGGTTAAAAAAGCCGAAGAATTTTTTGTATATTTTATCCCATAAGCATGGCAAATCTCTTTAGAGATCGATTAATTCACGTATTTCGCAATCGCTTTGCTGGTCCATGGATGATATTTTGCAGCCGCATACGTGCGCACCGGCTGCCTGCCGCAGCGGATTACATCTTACCAAATGTCTTTGGTAAGATGTAATCCGCCGGCTAAACGGATGTAATCCACGCGCTCTAACTGCGGATGGGAGTGCATGGCCTTCCTCCAAGGACGTTGAAGATGTAATAAAAATTTGAATTACATCTGCCGTCTAGATGGATGGCAACAAGCAAGACTAGGGGAGAGTGGGGCATGTTGTTACAGGGGTAAATAGTCACACGCATTTTTACCAAAATTTAATACTTTCTGGTGCATAGTATTGGCTCAATTGGTCATGACATCGCGCATTACGTAAGAATGACTAGTGACCCGCCGGAACAGCGTTCTGTAAATTTGTACCTACTTCGATTTCAGCCAAGTAAAAAAATCCTTTATAAAATTTTTGATTTCCGATACATATTTTTTATTTATTTTTTTCAATAATTTTTAGGGCTTGGACTTACTTAGCAAATCTACTTTTAATTTATTGTTTTTTCTGCTAGCAATAGCCATCAATGGTGACGTCAATTTGTTTAAAAAATCGTGCTATGGGGCAGGTAGTTACAATTTTTTTGGGGTAAGTTGTTACAGACACAACTTGCCCCGTATATTTTGGGCTTGATTATCTTATTAGCTTATCAGTCTCTGGAAGGGATAAAAAGCTAGTTTCTAAACCACTTCCAAGGGGGACTTCTATTTTCGAAGCGTATGCCGTTTTACTATGTACTTTCGCTCATAAAATATACGTTTCTTCATATTTATAAAATGTAAATATACATTGTTTCTTTTTCAGAATGAAAAATTATAGAAGAAATTTTAACAGTGGTAGAGCCACGCTGCAGCTTTTGCTGTTGCACGGATGGGCCGACTCGAACCGGGGTGGTACCACGACCTCACAGAAAACCAGCGTGAAATAGAGGTTTACCTCTGCGTTTCGCTTGGTGAGTGCAGGTGGCCGGAGGTCCTTTTTACTGGAAATGAGGCATTCCATCTTAGTCCTCACGGGTGACAACGCATCTACATTTTGATTTGTAATAAAGGATAGATGTAGATGTCAATGGGCCGCAGCAACCACTTACCATCAGGTGGACTGTGTGCTCGTTTATCACCCTTATCCTATAAAATAAAAACTGGGAGATTCTTCCACTTTCTCGCCTAACCTCTACAGTTTCATACTGGACCTGGAAAATCTGAAATTGTTAGTCATCGTAAACGAAAATACGCTGTACTATCTGATATACCGAAAAAGGAGCATTAGCAAAAGAGTATACAGAAAAACTGACCAAGAAACAAAAACGCTGCGATAAAAGTAAAACTAAAGGAAGAGGTAAGGGAAGAAAGACAACGAAACTAAGTAAAAAAGGAAAATAAAGCAAATAAAAAAATATTGGATTCAGATTCAGACTCGGACACTGAAGATTGGTATATTTTAGTGTGTAGCGAAAGTTACAGTAGGTGTAAAATAGAAGAGTGGGTAGAGTGTATAGAATGCAAAATGTGGGCCCATGTCAAATGAAGAAAGATGAAAAAAATAGAAGTGAGTATCTTATTAACGATAAGATCCAAAAAAAATTGTTTAATAAAAGTGATGACACTTGGACTATTGATTTTTTTTTTTACAAACATTGATTAAAATTAGTAAAATTTATTCATTATTTTATTGAACGTTGCTTGTAGCAGACGAAGCTTATTTCTTATTTTAGTAATAACAATGTTTTATACTTAAGAATTAAAAAAAAAAACTCAGCCAGTGTTAGTAATGTGATGGTACTGTTAAAATTATTTAAAAATAGACACTATTATTACAGATTATTATTATAAGATTATTTTAAATATTTGTTGCGATTATAGCATTTAAAAATAAAGATTAAATTGTGATTTGTAATTGTTGATTTTATTCATTAACTAGCTGTTCCCCGCAACTACGCCCGGGTGTTATTTGGGGTTGTATTTTTTTTTGCGCAGAACCCTAATATTTTTCTAAAATAAAAGTAGCCTAAGTTACTTCTTGTGACATCAGCTATCTGCCAGTGAAAATTCCCGTCAAAATCGGTACAGCCGATTCGGGGATTAGCCGGAACAAACAAGCAGACAGACAAACAAAAATTTTAAAAATATTTTTTTTTGTTATAAGTACCGTATATACTTTCATATGCATATAGTAAAATAAATATAGTATAATGCTGTTATTTCGACATTACAAACAGACACTTCAATTTTATTTATTTGTACAGATTTACAGTAACAACGTGCCTCAAAGATGTAACAACTGACCCCGAACTGGGGCAAGTTGTTGCAATCGATTTGTTTTAATTAAATTGCCCATTGTGAGAAAACAACGTTAATTTAAATAATTTTTCACTAATATTTTACTAGCTGAATATTTATTTTATCGATAAAAACAATCAAATGGATAAATTAATTCATAAGCTATGTCATATTGATAATTATTTAAAAAATGTAACAACATGCCCCACTCTCCCCTACTTCTGTTGGGACGCTGGATTACATCCGCCTGGAACATGCTTTAGATCTTTAAATTTAAGTAATAATAATAAAATATGAGTTATATATTTATTTTTGAATGAGTCCATCATGTGGACCTTTACACGCCGATGGCATTGTGATACGAAATGTGAATCTAATCTCGATACGAGTACCTAGTGTATGATATATTATCTTGGAATCACGATTATAATATTTCGAATACACAATAATATGAAATTATATAACATAAAAATTATCCTTACAACAGAATGCGAGTTTTTGGTCTAAAAAATCTGCTCTCTTCATAACGATCATCCACTTTTTTTCTGATATTCGGCTAGTATGGGACCATAAAAAACCAATTTATTTGGTGGTTTTTGGTGGTATTGTAACACAAGTAGACGACAAAATACTTATATGACATTTTTAGTCTAAAATAATCAGCGTTGAGTGACCCGCTCGAAATTATGAGCGAAATAGTAATAGTAAGTTCGCATATAGTGCGTAGCGACACGCGACCGCGGGTGGTGATGTCACCTTGCGTTGTCCGGCCGGCCGAATTTTGATGATATTAGATAATTGCATATTTTAAGTTACAAAAAAAAAAATCAAATTTTCTTGGAGTTTTCTCTATTTTTGTAACTAACGTAACCAAAAACTTTGGCCATGTCAATCGTATCTTAATAACTTCTAATAGGGAATTAGGCGATGTACTTACGTGTAAATCATGTAGACGAGCCGCGCTTAGGAAGCTCTACATCTTTATAGAAAAATGTATTTTTTATATTGTGGAAATAAGTACGTACGTGCTTACATACACAATTAATTTTGTTACTTTTTTTTTCTTATATTAAGTAGGTTTTTCTTCGTTTAAAATAATCCGCACGCACCATTATATAACCTCGCTCCCCTAGGAATGTGCTTACTGCTTAGTTTGCCTTAGGTATAACCCGCCACTACCACTCCTACGTCCCGAATTGTGACAACTACGCTAGCGAACTATACCTTAATGACCCAACTACCAATCTTACGTGGTCTTTGTGTATTGTTTGAAATAAAGTTCTTGAGCGTGTTAAAAATCTTTGCAAGTTTGAATTACATAATGCAGTTTAGATATATTAACGTTACAGATTCTATTATCATATTTATTTCTTTGTTATCCTGATATAGATAATAATTTTATTTGTAATAAGTATTTGTGTTATATATTAATACAATTGTATATTGAAATAAATGTATACATTATGTATATTATATAGATTTATTTATAATATTATTTCACCTTATATCATAAATTTCGTTTCGATTTTTGCTGCATCGCTTCTATCTCGGTTTAGCCTAATGGTTGACTGGGAAAGAATGCCATTTTGCATTAAGTCTCCCCATATGTACTACTTTGTGCATTAAAATACAAATAAATTGTTTGAAGCTGCACAAACTATTACAAGTGCCTACCATATTTGAAGTGTTTACAACAGAATGGAGAACTATACACAAATGTTGGCGTAGAAGGAATCCTTTCGGGAGACTACGTTCTACAGCAGATAATCTATCTATAGTGGTATAGATAGTGGCCATTTTAATGTTTTGTTTGTTAATTTGTGGGCCCAATCCTTGATTCATTAGTTACTTTGTAGTTGGTATTTGTGATATTTAAATCATCATTAGTTATCATAACAAAAATACTAATTCCATAGGTAAGTATTTGAATTAAATAAATAAATTAATTACTCTTTCAGAAAATGACAAAAACAAGTATACTCGTGTTTCTTTCGCAGTTTCTTTTCTGGGCAGAGTAATAAGGTTATTAATTCAAAACGAAATTTCTATTTCTTACATTGAAGAAATAAATATATTTCACTTCATTTGAAAGTTGAAAAAGTTCTTCAGTTAGTTACACACTCTTACCGCCAAACACAGTGAATGATGGTCGGTCCCAAGAATATAGAACTATGGCCTCATGTACTATCCACAATTTCCAGGAACAAAGATAGCTTCTATACACATGGGTTTAGTCTCCCTTTGAGGGTCCCCCGAGTTGAGTTAAGCAAGCAGCTCTGTGACCAACTTGTAGCTGAAAACTACCACAGAGTAATTAAAAATATATTGCCAGTTCTGTTGACTTTCAATATGTTTTTACTAGATAAGGTAAAAATAAAGGGCAAGTTGACATAATTAAGTTTAAAATGTCTTCTTTTGATTTGCTGATTTCCTCTTGATTTAGACTGTAATAAAAACAGATTTCAATCAATGGTTGCTCACTGCATAGGATCATTCTTAGTACCTACTGAAGTAAACTTACAAATACAGAAGCACATATGTACATACTGGATATTGTTACCTGCTGTCGTATTTTATAACAAATTCGGAGGAAGAATCATCGTCTCAATACACATTACATCCATATCCAGGTAGTAGCACTATTTAATTAATTATTTGTATTACTACATAAATTATTTATTGACGCTAACCTTCCTAGGGCTAATATTCCGCAGGCACCCCTAGACAGGCACAGCAGACGTAGTTTTTCAAGTGGGTCAGTTGTGTGGGCCACAGCACGAGCACTCGTCTGCATGAGCTCCTCCTCTTGGAGGGAGATAGCAGACTGGGGTCGGTGCCATGCCACTGCAAGTAATTTCGATTCTGAGACACTACACTTTACAGTAATAACATTATGCCAATGACATATGGATCTAAGATAAGGTCCTTTACCACTGGCTGCTGAGGAACCTCAAGATTCTCTGCCATATTTATATCAATGGGAAAGTAAGTTCACTGAGTAGCAGCCTCATGCCGATAAGCAAATTGTAGAACTCCCTTTTAAATAGAGTAACAACATAGAAAGAGATGAAGGAAATCAATGGATACAGGTGGCTCCAGATATCCTACTTTGTGACATTCCTTAGAGGAGACCTATGTTCAACATTGGACTTGTGATGAGCTGTAATGATGTGTGTGATATGAAGGTCCACTAAACTGTCGCAAACTATTCAAAAAGCAAGGACAAGCACCAAAGCAGTTTAAAGGATTGAAACAATTAAAACATTTGTTGTACCTGTACACTGATGCTAGATACAGAAATGTTCTCTTTACAGATGAAAGTATTTATATGATTGAAAAGAACTACAACATACATAATTTAAATTTAAAAATCCCCAAAATAGAATGACTGAAAAGATTTTCTCGAATCATAGCTAAGAACACTCTCAATCAAGTCACCTTTCAAACAAAAAAACTAAATCTTAAATCAGTTCATAGGTTTGGGAGATGCGATGCCACAGACAAACAGATACACAGATAGACACGTTAAACATATAATACCCCTATTTTTCGTCAGTGTATGCTTACATATCTAAAAAAACCTTACAACTTGTTTGAAACTTGTTTATGGGTGGTAGGACTCCTTTTCTGCCTAGAGGTCGATCTGGGTATGTACTACCCTCTTACCTAATTCTGCTGCTAAATAGTGCAGACCAAAACATAGCAAAGCTTGCTTGTATGTTTTTTTATAGGATAGGGTGACAAACGAGCACACAGTCCACCTGATGGTAAGTGGTTGCTGTGACCCATAGACATTAACATTTATCATCAATAAAGAATCAAAATGCAGATGCATTGTCACCCGTGAGAACCAAGATGGAATGCCTCTTTTCCAATAAAAAGGGTCTCCGGTTCTCTACACTCACCATACAAAACACAGTAGTGTTAAGCTGCTATTTTACGATGGTATTCTGTGAGAACGTGGTTCTTCCCCCGTCGATCCGACCCATCTGTACTACAACTATACTACTAATATAGCTGCAGTATGACTCTACCACATATAAAAATTTGTTTTGGTCTGAAGGGTGTAGAAAGCCAGTATAATTACAGCCTGTGAGTAATCCGTGGAGCAGCGACAGCTCCGTGGCACAGTGGCTTAGCAATGAGTTGCAGCGCTAAGGGTCACAGGTTTGAATCTCGTACAGAACAAGTAATTGTATGACCTACAAATAATTACTCTGGGTCTGGATGTTTGCCCTTGTGAAATTTATGTACGTAAACTGCCTCCAGGATACAGAAGAAAATCTAAGGGTAAAAGTAACGTTTTTTTTTTAAATAAAAGAATTTTATCTTAGTCCTTAGATGACAATGCACCTTTGTTTGAAGTAGGCTGCAGTTGTCCATCACATTTGTTACGTTTTATAAAAATAAGTTCAATGTGGTCATAATCCTACATCATTTAATTTTATTTTCTTGCTATGGAATCACAAAGCTATTTTTATGAATAGGGAGTAAGCTAAAAGCCAGGACTTGGCCAAAGTTTATTAAGACACTATTGTGAATCATGTAGTGAAGCCTCTTCTTAATTAACACACACAAGTCTTGATCAAACAAGACTGGTTTTTCTCTGCTTGTTTGTCACCCTATCCTATCGTATCGTATTGTATGGTGAGTGTAGAGAACCAGAGACCCTTTTTACTGAAAAAGAGGCACTTCAACTTAGTCCTCACGGTTGACAACGCATCTGCATTTTGATTCGCAAACGAGGATAAATATAGATGTCTATGGGTCACAGCAACCACTTACCATCAAGTTGATTGTGTGCTCATTTGTCGCCCTATTCCTATAAAAAAAAAATAGAAGCATCATGTTGTCATGGAGCCTCTACAAGTTTTTATAGCATATTATTTTATGGTATTTGAATAAATCAGCAAAATTATTCAACATTATATAAGATCAGAAAATATGGGTCAGAAAGTATGGAGAATAACTTGCTCCTACTTGATGTCATGTATGCTTGAAATACCCGGTATTTTCAGTATCAGGATTTCCTGGCACTATGCCTCATGTAAAAGTAAAGCATTTTACAAGTTACAATTCTTTTAGTCACACAGCACAGATTTTAAATTAAGTGAGAATACCAGAAACAAAACATTGATATTCCACCTCAATCTCAGTTCAATGTGGACAAAATAATATTATTTCTTGATTTTCTACAAGAGCATCTGGTAAAGTAAACATACACAACGTCGTCAAAAAAACTTCCATTCACAACACCCACTCAATTATACTTAAAAGCCTATGCTTATTATGATGACGCAATAAAGCTAGCTATAAATAGCTAGCAGCTTTATACGTTTTTTTTGCATGGGTATCTTTTACTATTATGGGCGTTTTAACTTGCTTTCTTTAAGCCCCATTTGCTTTACCTTTCTTTTCATATGGTTATTCGTTAGTTGTTTATGGTACCTGTGTTAAAGATATTAAACTGTTGAAAAGTGTAAAACAATATTTTTAAATAAATATTCAATATGCTATTATAAAAAAATTATCTAGCACTAAAAAAATACTCATTATTGCATAAAAATGAAACATACGATACAAGCAACAAATACATTTAAAGAATAAATAACAAAAATATATAAGTACCTACTTAAGATCGACAAAAAAGATCATTAAATTAAAAAATTATTTGCTATAAATAGATACTTACAGTTTGATGACGTTTTCTCTTTACCCGCATACATTTCGCGGCTCATACTTTTTCCCGAAATTTCAAGTGCAACGCTACAAGGTCAGAGTAAAGATTTTAAATAAAAAAAGCGTGAGATATACATGGTGAAATAACATCATACTTACCAATTTGCGATATAAGAAAAGGGAATTAATGAAATTAATCTTAATTCACCCAGATAATAGTAATTGTAAATAATAACAATACACACGACAACAACTGCAACAACAAGTTCTGGATTTAAATTTTAAACAAGTCACAGACTACTTAGTGGATACTACGTATGAAACAAGTCAAGTCAAGTGAACTTGAGTGAACTGCGCATATATATTAGGGATGCCCGATTTGGATCGATTTTCTGAAAGAAAAACGGCCATATGATCTACCGATTTTTGAATCGATTCAAAGGAATGCGATCTTCACCCAGATCGAATCGTATGCTAAGATCGTATGAAAAAATCGTATCAACTAAAACCTAAACATCAACGGAACCGTAACGTACTAACGTACGAACCGATCTTTACATACCTACCTATCGTATTACCGGGGAGGCTATCACAAAATAAGATTACCTACATTCACAGTGAATTTGAATGAGATTAGCTTCGAGTTACATCAGAAGCGGTAATCTATACAAATAAATAAAATTGAAGTGTCTTTTTGTAATGTCCAAATAACAGCTTTTTACTTGCATGTGAAATTATATACGATACTTATAATAAAAACACGATTTTTAAAATTTTTGTCTGTCTGTCTTTCTGTCTGTCTTTTTGTTCCGGCTAATCTCTGAAACGGCTGGACCGATTTTGACGGGACTTACACTGGCTACTTTTAATTTAGAAAAAGAATTAGGGTTCCGCGCAAAAAAAATAAAACCACAAATAACGTGCGGGCAAAGTCGCGAGGTACAGCTAGTATATGAAATATGAAGGTACATGTGATAATATTTTGGTCTTTTTAATATCGGGTACCTATGTTAGTGTTCTATGATCTTTCATTCTTTGTATTATTGCGATACGAAAAGTTGAGCTGTTCTGTAAGCGTAAACTATTATTTTAAAATACTTTTTGTTTGTTTGTCCCCGCCAACCAAATCAAATTTTTGGGCTTTTTTATTAAATGTGACATGGGTGAACAATGTAAAATGGTTAAAACTAGTGGAAATACTACTAGTTTAAAAATCATCTCAGATATTATCACATACATTTATTCCGAGCCTAGCAAAAGTGAAGAAAGTTCTACTACAGCAATTGCCGAAATCATGTACCTATCTATCTTTTATACAAATAAATAAAATTGAAGTGTCCGTTTGTAATGTGAAAATACCAGCTTTTTACTAAATAATACATATCAAAGTATAATAGGCTAGATCCAGTGCGGCTGTAAAAAATATTATTTTTGAAGAGTCTAAGTGTAGATAGCTGGAATTTATAATGTAAAACCTGTTTTATATTTTTCGAATTAATAATTTGGAAAAACTAACTGGATACCGTAATAGGCATTGTTAAAATAAATAATTTTGCATGCATACTGTGCTTTTCTTTATTTTTATAAAATAGCGATGCGATTTTCCGAGATCGAACAAGATCGATTCAAAGCAACATAATTAAATTGTGAATCGATTCACGAGGTTACGATTCATTACGATCCAGTAGATTGATTCAAAACAAAAAATCGGGCATCCCTAATCTATGCGTGACTGTGACCATGAACTTTGTATTTGCTTTAGAGATGTTCGATGATAATCGATGTTAAAAATTAAAGCATCGATGTTTTAACATCGATGTTGACATATGTGAAACATAGAAACATTGATGTCAATGAACCCATAATCGATTATTGGGAATTTGCGAAGAATGCGAAATCGCGTAATCTATATCAACTAAATCTTGCATCTCCTCTGAAGATTTAAAATTTTGAATAATTCAGAATTCCTGAACGCGTCGCTAACCTAAAAAAAAATTATTATGGTGTGTCAAACTTAATTGTCAAGTGTCACCTGTAGTGTCACAGTGGTCACTGCTTTCGCTTTATTTTGTAGTGTCGTTGTCGGTTGTCGCATAATAAAAAGTTAACTGTTATTTTTCCCTTGCAGTGTATACCCATATAATTTTAAAACAATATATAAGTATCTACACATATAGAAAAAACATCGATAATGGTCAACATCGATGTTTTTAGTAGGCTAAACATCGAACATCGATGTTAACCTGTCGATGCCAACATCGATGTCATCATCGATGTTTCTGCAACATCGAGCATCTTTAATTTGCTTCATGACTGTGACTCAGTATTGCCATCGTAAAAATTTTAGTTGCTTTATGTCACAGTCTCGTTTGCCGTATTTTAAGGAAAAATTACTTAATTGCGTAGATAGAGGATTGACTAGATAAAGCATTCGCGTATGCTTTTGAGATAGAAATAGGCGGAAGGTACTTTCACTGGGTTATCAGATATTGTTCCATTTCCCCCGTTATGTCAGGACTTTAAATTATTTATTTATTTCTTTTATAATCTTTATTTGCAAAAAACATGGCAGTACAGATAAAGTGCCATCATTTGTAAATAAGGATTCATGTTTAATCAATACATCTATAAGTAAATATTTTGTCATTGTCATGCAACCCAATTATTACAAGTCATAATAATACAGAATGTCAGCATTTGAAAATAAAATAAGCAATGGTAGTCAATTTTTAATACATACAGAACAATGTCAAAAATCATAACTGCCAACAAGGTCAAACTTATATCACTTATGGAGAAACCACAAGATACAACAAGAAATTATAAAATTTAAAAAAATTATCTTAATTATATTATAAATTACATAAGTTAAGCATATTTAGTCCATCTAAAACAATGAGGCTCAAAATGTTTTGAGATTACACTGCTAAGTTTTGTTGGTTGGACGTGTCAAGCTCAGTGATGATCCCCGTCAAGGTCGTCCAAAAACTGCAGTCACCCAAGAAAACGTTGATATTGTGCGTAAGCTGATTGAGGAAGATCGACATGTGACATACCGCGCAATTCAGGCAACTTTAGACATTGGCATGAGTCAAATATAAATAATCTTGCATGAACAATTAGGTTTAAAAAAGTTGTTTTCCCGATGGATACCGCATTCGCTCTGTGAAGAGCAAAAAGTGGCTGGCGTTACTTGGTGCGTCAGAACTCTCGAAAGATTCCACGCAGGATCCTCAAATGCTGTATACAACATCGTATCAGGTGCCGAATCCTGAATATACGCGTACGAACCCGAAACAAAAAACCAGTCACGAGTTTGGATGTTCGAAAGTGAGTTAAAGCCAACAAAAATTGTTCGTTCACAGAGTGTTGCAAAAAAAAACGGTGGCCACGTTTGTCTCCAAAACCGGCCATGTTACGACTATTCCTCTTGAAGGACAAAGAACGCTTAATGCAGAATGGTATGCTAGCATTTGTTTGTTACAGGTCGTTTCTGAACTCCATAAAGAGAAATGCAACCGCCGCATCATCCTCCATTACGACAATGCGAGTTCTCACACCGCACACAGAACAAAAGAGTTTTTAGAGCACGAAAACAGAATTATTAGACCATCCGCCGTACAGCCCCGACCTAAGGTTTAATGATTTATATACTTTCCCTAAAATAAAGAATAAATTGCGTGGACAGAGATTTTCATCACCTGAAGAAGCTGTGGACGCCTACAAAACGGCCATTTTGGAGACCCCAACTTCCGAATGGAATGGTTGCTTCAATGATTGGTTCCATCGTATGGCAAAATGTGTCAAATTTTGCCATACGATTCGCGGAGAATACTTCGAAAAGCAATAAATATATTTTTAAATAGTAATGTTGTGTCACTTCCTTGATTCCCGAAATTTTCAGTGCCACCCTCGTAATGAAGTCAACACTCCGTCCCCCTCGTGCTCTAATCCGAAGTCCCGAAGCCTGTCAGCTCGAGCTACGAAACCGTTTTCAGTGCCTAGAAGATTGCAATGCAGTAGACGATATGAACGACAAGCTCGTGGAAACTGTCCATGCGGTCGGAGCTAAGTTTTTCAAGGCCCGCCGCAGAAGAACACAAAAACTCTCCGATCACACTCTTAATCTCATGGGTATTAGACGGGATATGAAGCTGCAGTCTTGAGTAGATTTGATAGCATACAGGCAACTGAACAGAAATATCTACAAACGCATGCGGCGGGACTTACGTAACTTCAATACTGCTCGTATTCAGAAGCGATCAAGCGAAACCAGGGCTCCAAAGTCTTTGCTAGAGATCTGTCTGCCAGAAAGAGCCAACTGTCGAAGCTGAAGACCGAGTGTGGCAGCGTCGTTTCCGGGACACCTGAGATTTTGAATGAGATTGAGAGGACTATGGGCAGCTGTACACATCATCGTTGGAGCCACACGTAAGTGTGAGTAACGATTCAAGAGCGAGTCTTATCCGACACTATTCCGATGATATCCCGGACGTTAGTCTGAGCGAGATTAGAATGGCTCTTCAGCACCTTAAAAACGGCAAGGCCCCAGGCGAGGATGGAATTGCAGCGGAGCTTCTGAAAACGGTTGGAAAACCGGTACTTGAAGTCCTTCACTAGCTTTTTAATTCCGTCCTCTATGGTAGCATTACACCGGAGGCGTGGAGCTAGTGGAGAAGTGCGTTGGTCTTGTTCTTCAAGAAAGGTGACAACGCTCTCTTGAAGAACTACAGACCGATTTCCCTTCTGAGTCTACGTGCTGTTTTCGAGAGTCATTACGAATTGTCTCGCGCGCAGACTTGGCGACTTCCAGCCTCCCGAACAAGCCGGTTTCCGAAAAGACTTTAGTACCATAGACCACATACATACCCTTCGGAAAATTGTACAGAAGTCCGAGGTGTACAATTTGCCACTATGTCTGGCGTATGTGGACTATGAGAAAGCCTTCGATTCCGTCGAATTTTGGGCGGTGCTGCAGTCGCTTCAGCGGTGGCAAGTTGACTGTTGGTATATCGAAGTGCTGAAGTGCATGTACGATAGGGCTACAATGGCTATCCAAGTACAGAACCAGAGTACGAAACCTATCCAATTGCAGAGAGCTGTAAGACAGGGTGACGTTATATCTCCGAAACTCTTCACCGCTGCATTGGAAGACGTTTTCAAGCTTCTGGACTGGAAAGGATACGGTAGTAACACCAATGGCGAGTAAATCACTCACCTTCGATTTGCCGATAGTCCTTATGGCAAAATCGCTGGAGGACCTAAGCACTATGCTCAATAACCTCTATAGTGTTTCCCAACGGATAGGTCTTAAGATGAACATG